GCTGCTCCACAGCGCCGGCCTGCCCCGGTCCCGGGCCACCACCGTCACGCGGTGCTCGGACGCCTGCTCTCGGTCCAGCGCGCCCGCCGTCACCACCTTGTACGAGCCGCCCGACGACGCCACGATCAACAGCGGCGCCTCTCCCGACAGCTCACACGACACCTGACCGTTCTCGCCCGAGTCTCTGTCCCTCACTTTCAGCAGGGCCACCACGGTGCCTATGAGAGCGTCCTCGGGCACCGGGCTCGAGAGCGACAGAATCGTGATCTCAGGTGGGTTGTCATTTACGTCCAGCACCTCCACCTCCACCTTGCAGTGTGCCACCAAACCCCCTCCGTCCTTCGCCTCCACAGCCAGGCTATACGCGCTCGTCTCCTCAAAGTCCAGTGCTTCCTGCAGCATGATAGACCCGCTCTCTGTATCGAGCACAAACTTCTGATGTGCCTTGTTTGTAATTTCCCCGAATCCGTAGGTGATGCGGGCGTTGGTGCCTGCATCGGCATCTGAGGCTGACAGGTTCAGTACTGCCAAACCCGGCGGCGCGTCCTCTCGCAGGGTCACGCGGTAGCGCTCCTGCTCGAATATGGGTCGGTTATCATTTGCATCCGTCACGTTCACCCGAATCTGAACAGATCCGGACCTCACGGGGTCCCCACCGTCAATCGCCGTCAGCAACAGATCAAAGGAGCTCTGCTTCTCTCGGTCCAGTGCTGTCTCCAGAATTATTTCCGGCTTGCTTCCATCCGGGGTCTCCTTCATGGCTAGAGAGAAGGTTGGATTGCGGGTTAGTTGGTATGTTAGCAGTGAGTTTCTACCCACATCAGCATCATGGGCAACCTCCAGTGGAAAACGAGTACCGGGAGGAATCCATTCACCAATCTCGACGTCCACAGCAGCCTTCCTGAAGGTCGGGGAGTTGTCATTCACGTCCTCGATCGACACTTCGACGTGGAAAATGTTCAGAGGGTTCTTCACCAGCGCCTCGAAGCTGATAGAGCAGGTCGGCGACGCACCGCACATCTCCTCCCGGTCCAGCCTCTCGTTCACGTACAGGTTCCCGTTCTCCTCACTCACCGTGAAGTATT